AAATGTGGAGACAAAGTGACTCCAAAGAGACAAAACTGTCCCAAAAACAAACCAGCTGACAACATGAAGTTTTAAAAACACGTCACTAAACAACAGAAAAGAGACAAAACTGTCTGTCAGGGTTTGTAGATGCTGTAAAAACTCAAATAAAATATCTATAATATGTGGAACCTCCATTTTTTTCAGTGTCGGTAACATCTGTGGACACTTGGAGGAACATGTTGATTCCAGGTTTTTGCTTTAATAGTCAAAGATATTCTACTTTTTTTCTGGTTTCTGTCATTCTAACTGTGTTATTCTGCACAGAAGTTTTCTTCTTCATGTTGTTGTTTCCACAGAGCTGCAGGACTTTACCACAGCGAAGAAGAATGTGACCCACAGAAAAAGTAGTTCAGAGGGTTAAATGTGAACAAACCTGTCTGTCTCTCTATCAGGACCAGAGTGTCTTCGGTCGGAGCTCCTTCGAGGAGTTTCTCGGTCAGACGACTCCCACAAGCCTTCAGCAGCCTGGAAATGAGGTTCAACATACGTCAGCATGACCAAGTGAGGAAATCACAATATGAAATAAAAAACAAAGAGTGTGTGGACCGACCAGCTGAAGGACGAGTGCAGGCTGGCCCAGAGGCTCGGGTGCTGCGTCAGGGAGGTGAGCGAGCGGGCTGCATTGCCGCTGCGCTGGTGAGGAAACACTGCAGGTGAAAACACGCTGTTCATCCTCACAGCTCGCTGAGGACAAACCCCCTGTTCGCTGTCAAACACCTGCAGGAGGGAAGAGACGAGACAAGACAGATAATAAATACTATGAATAAGAAGAACTTTTCTAGTGTTACAACCTGCAAAAACAAAGTTATAAAGTGCTTCACAACAAAACTGGTGTGAAATTAAATGAATAATGAAAGCAAATTCAACAAATAAGATCACAAACGTGCAACACAAACAAGACAAAATAGTTAAATCGACGTTTTCATACAGCTTAACCAAGACAACAAGAAGCATTACGACTGGTGTTAAAAAAGGTACCTACCAAGACTAAACACTGCGGTTAAGGTGTGATTATACCTGAATTATTTACATTATTTACACTTACTTGACTCTAATGCATTTTAGGGTGAGTTCCAGCAGTTTTATTAATCATGGAGAATAACTTGACAATGAAACGAGACACTACAGTGTCATAAATTATGGAATTTAACCAAACTAATGGATTATTAATTTATGAGATAGACCTGATTAATTTAGAGTAATTTTTTGTCGATACAGATGAAGGTAAATGTGTGTAGTGGAGCTGAAAAACTGACTGAATTCACATAGAGTTCGTCAAAGAGGCACAAAAATCACAAGGATGTACATGAAGCAAGCCATCTGAGTCAGAGTTTAACAACAAACTCCTGCCGTCCTGCTAGTGTGACAGTCACACTATCAGTGCTCCATCACATGTTTTAAATCTGTCACACAGGGGACTGATTTTAAAATCCTCTACTGCAAATCAAATCATTAAATCTGTGAGGAAAAAAAAACACATTTTCCAAAAACATCCAGCCCCAGTTTGTGTTGTGTCTATATTTAATGTTTAATCAAAGTTCGTGTTGACGCCACCTTCAGAGCGGTGCTTTGCAGACTCTGTATCGTGAGTCTGAGGTGACGCAGCAGGAAAGGCCACGAGTTGATCAGGTAGATCCTGTCCATCGCCACCATCACGATGCTGTACCAGCGCTGGAAGCCTCGGGCCAGGCTGTCTTTGATGAAGAAGGTGTGCGAGAACACAAACCCATGCTGCTCATCTCCAAAGAAAATCGGCCCTTCGCGTCCAGGACACACCTGATGGAGAAAACAGGTAGAAGTAGGATTAGAAACCATTTTATTCAGTGTTCGATATGTGTGACCGTGATGTGCGTCACTGTTTACCTCGCAGCTGAGGCTGCGAACACAAGCCTGGCGGACCACACTGAACAGCTGAGGCTGTCGGGGATGCTGGTGGCTCAGGAAGCGGATTCCTGTTTCGTCGTCGATGCTCACAAAGCCCGGGTGAGACGCAGGAAGAGATCGACATCCCTGCGAGGCGAGACAAAGAGGAACATTTGTACTTTATGAAGGATGACAAAAGTATGAAATCACCTGCAAGCTGAATAAGCCAGAAACAGAGCGGGGTCAGCTCATGTTCAGGTGATTCTCTGTCCGCTCACCTCACACATTTCCCCCCTCTGCGTGGCCGAGCTGTTGGCCCTCATGGTCAGCCCTTCGCCCTCCCGGTCGCCGTCTCGGTCCCGGTCCCCAGGCACCGGGGCTCCGGCCTGGGACGAAGGGTCCGGGGATGGGGGGTGCAGCGCCTCGGTGCAGAACAGCGTCCGAGGGCCGTGGAGCTCACAGAAGTGACAGAGAGCCACCAGAGCGTTCATCTGGGGGACAGAGAACAAGTTTCAGATATTTACTGCACAGATGAGGCCAGAATCATTCATAGTCATCCACACTTTTGATTGAAAGTTAAGTTTATTTGATTGATAAATAAAAATTGCAATCATTTATTTATATAATCAAAACAATAACGCGATGATGTAAAACTTAATGGTAATAAGTGAAGAAATGATGGAGAGAAAACAACATTAACATGATAGAAATAGTTAAACTTCATCACTAACGTCTCCAACTCAATGTTTACTGAGTTTGTTTAAGTCACTTCCAGCCAGAAGAAGCGTGTAAGTCCAATAAAAATTACCTATAAATCAAACTGTTACATGAGAACTTGCATCTTGTGCCTCAACTATAGACGTCACTGTCATTAAAACGGTTCAACAGAGTTAAGAAGTGTTTAATTGGAGCTGCTAGCATCACAGTTTCTCACCTTCAGCGCAGACTGGAGCTCAAAGCCGCTTCACAGAAAGATTTTCATCGGTTAAATAAAATAAATAAACGTTAAAATAAAAGTAACAGCCCCGTGAAAGCGAACCCGAATTCAGTCCATTTGTAAATCGCTTCGTTTTTAGGGTTTAAATTGAACTTTTCTGCACTTCGTCGTCTCCTTCCGAGCAGCAGCTAACAGCTAAGCGCTAACAGACAACAACAACACACCGGGTCACATGACTCACGGTCACGGGTTCTGACTACAAATCACGCGATATTTGAGATTTTTTAAGAATTTCAACCGTAAAATTCAAGAAATAGCAGATATTTTCAAAGCAATAAAGAACTGATTTTCTCGTTTTTTAAACAATTTATTGCGAATACTCAGCCTTTCAAAAAGCACTTTTCAAAAGCCACTTTTCGATAAAACGCGTTAAAACCACATTACCCATAATCCCCTCCGATACTACGAGCCAGAGGTCAAAGGGCGACGAAAAGTCAGAAACGTTTTCTTTGCCGGTTAGTGTCTAAAATTAACTCTGTTCCATGCGCTTTTAAAATATGTGTTTGTATTTTTTAAAACTGTACGATGTTAATGTTTTTTCTTTAACGGTTGTTGAGTCGTTAGATGTTTTTAATCTCGTTAAACGACGTTATAGCAGCTGCTTCCGCGTTGAGAAGTGATTTTCCAGTTTTAGGAGTGTCACGCTAAACAAAGCCAAAGCTGGAAACACCTCAGTGACACAGCACACCTTTTCTGAACTAACATAACTCTTTTAAATCTCAGATCTGAGAATGTCTTCGGACGGACCAGCAGTGACTTCAGGTGCAGAAGAGGAGCAGACGGATGGGGGGACTCACCTGGCACCCAGCAGCCCCTCTGACTCACCTGGACCAGAGGCAGGAAGCCCAGCAGACACCCAGGAAGCCTCAGGAGGTAAATCTGTCTCTACGCCGTACAAATGCTGTTATACAATTACTTAGAGCTAACAATATGATTAAAACAATGATGTTTCACATATTTTTCCACACATAGACTATATTAGACCAGGTCCAGGTCTAAAACCACTCCATGTAAACTGGTCAAACCTGAACCAGATTATAGCAGAGAAGCTTCAGAGTATTTAAACCACACCATCTGATTTGTGAGACCTTTATTTTGTTTGCTAAAATCCTTGTCTTTTTTTTTTCTTCTTTTTTTTTAAAAGCTGTAGACAACATTAGACCAGGTCCAGATCTAAAATCCTTCACATAGACGGGTTCAATCTGGACTAGATTATGGCAGAAAGATTAAAGATTCTTTAAAACACTGTTTCTGATTTATAAAACCTTTTTTCTATCTGTGAAAATGCAAAAAAAAGGGAGATTTCACAGCTTTTTTCTCATGTGGACTCCATTAAACCACATCCAGATCTAAAACCTGGTCAAACCTGATCTAGATCGGGGCAGAGACGCTCAAGATCTTTTAAAACACAATGTCTGGTATGTAAAACCTTTATTCCATCTGTGAAATTTGGGGAAAAAAGGGAGATTCCAAAGCATTTTAAACCACATCCAGGTCTCTATAGAAACTGGATCAGGTCTAGATCTTAAACTCCTGTATGTGGACTAGCTGGTCCTAAAGAGGCCAAAGATTCTTTAAAACACGGTTCCTGATTAATAAAACCTTTATTCTACCTGTTAAAATGTTTGTTTTTTTTCTCGTTAGACCAGGTCCAGATCTAAAACCACTTAATATAAACTGGTCAAACCTGAACTGGATCAGGTCTAGATCTAAAACTCCTGTATGTGGACTAGCTGGTCCTAAAGAGGTTCAAGGTTCTCTAAAACACGGTTTGTGATTTGTGAGACCTTGATATTATTATTTTTGAAAATGCAAAATAAATAAGAAAAGTTTTACTGCTTTTTGACCACATTAGACCAGATCTAAGTCTAAACCCCTAAATGTAGCCTGATAACTAGATCATTATTATGATTATTAAACAGTTTTTTGTATAATGCCTTTTAGAACAGAACTCACAAAGTGCTTTTACATAATAAAGAAACACACAGTGAGACGAGGCAGCACAGGACAACAACATGTATAGAAAGTTCAGGCGAACACTCAAAATATAAAAATACACACAATAAAAATGGAACAGAGGCGGCTGGGTCACTGCTGGAAGGTGTATTATAATAAAACTAGTAAAACTGGTTAAAACAACAGCATCACAGAGGGGAATTTGGATAAAAGCTGAAGATGAAAGTAGATTAAGAAAGAGAAAAGAGAGACGGACAGCAGGCGGTACCGATATAAAAGGGAAAAGAAAATCTAGAAGAGAGCGTCACTCAAAAGTGAGTCTATAGAAGTGGTTTCTAAGAAGATACTGAAATAAATATATACTGAAATACTGACTAGATGGTCCTAAAGAGGCTAAAGAGTCTTTAAAACACACATCTGGTTTGTGAGAATGTAGAAAATGAGTTTTTACTTTCATTTTCACGTCGACCACATCAGACCTCCTCCAGATCTAAAACCACTCAAACAGTGTTTTAGATTCAGTCCATGTGTCTCATGTGGGCAACATGTGTGAAAGAAATCCACTCCAGCTTCTATTTTTGTACTTTTACAAGGTTTCACAAATAACAAACGGTACTTTACAGACTCTGTAGCCTCTACAGGACAGTCCGGGCCAGATTGGCACGAAGCACGTTTGACTGCGTTCCAGATGAATGTGAGTTTATTAAAAGCAAAATAACAAGTAAAAAACAGCCTCCTGTCAGCTCAGTCATGTTAAATCTGTCGCACTAATTAAAAAAGTAATAAGTAGGTTGAAAATACTCACAATGAAGAAGCTGAATTTACAGAATTTAGACAGTTTTTATGAAAAAAATGCTCTTAAAAAGACAATAACTGTCTTTTTAAGGACGTCATGTTTGGTTTAAAGACGTTGGATTCAAGGATTGAAGGCCTTTATTGCTCACAAACACAGTTATACACAGTGTAACGCGCACCTGTTCCACACCGAAACAATATGAAAGAGATGAATAAGAATAAAGAATATATATATATACACACAGGGAGAGAGAAAGGGATAAAAAAAAACAAAATCAAATCAAACTTTTGCTTATTTTTTTGTCCTTTTCTCTCTTAATGGACGTTTTCACCATCTGGAGTCAAAATAATCAGCAGACGAATCACTAATTAAAATATTTGTTAGTTGTCGCCCGAAAGAGGCCAAAAATTAAACTTTAATAGAAGTTTCTCTTTAATTCATGTTAAAATCACATCACACGACAAACCTCAGCAAGAACTGTGAGAAACTAGTGATTATTTTTATTGTTAATTCATCTGTACGTTGTTTTCTGGATTATTTAATAATTGTTTGGTCTCTAAAATGGTGAAAAATATCAATTAATGTCTTTTTTTGTCCAAATATCTTCAGTTTTCTGTCATAGAGGAGGAAAAAAAACAGAAAATATTCACGCTGAAGAAGCTGCAACCACAGAATTAAGACTGTTTAATTAAAAAAGAAGAGTTAAAATCATTAACTGGTGATGAAAACAGTTCAATAGCAGTAATATTTTGGCCATATTCTAAATATTTGATGGACCGTTCAGCTCTGCTTCGAGCCTCCTGAGGTCGTTTTCATTCCTGCGGTTCCTCCAACAGCTGCAGACGGGTTTGTTTCTCCGGCTTGTCGGGTTATTTCAGCGAGTTTCTGCGTTTCTGTGAGCGATTAGGGTTCTGGTAAGTTGTGCCGGCGTGCGGTTTCAGCTCCCCGTTGTCCTGAACCGCTGCCAGACTTTCTCCTTCCTGTCGGGCCGCTTGGTGTCGGTGCAGGAAGTGAGTCAGGATCCGCTCGGTTCTGACTCCGTCACCTCCCACCACCCGTGACCTTAAATCCAGATTACATTTCTGAGGAATGAAGAGCGTCGCGGCGGTTCTTCCAGTAACGTCTGAAGCAGATGTAGGAATCCTGAAGATGTGCTGCTGATGGCGGGATGAAAGTCTGAGCGGCTCGTAATTAAAGTGTTCGTCCCGTGAGTCACGTTCAGTTCTGTAAATAGCCGGACAGGACGGGGTGTGTTTCAGGAAGCGGACTTGGCTGACATCTGAGTCTGGTGGGTCGAGACTTTACCACCTGTTAGATGAGTTACAGAGGAAATGTAATATCCTCACCCACTGACCTCTGCTGAAGATAAGAAGGACACCAGTGAAAGTGAAAAGAGCAAATCGAACCCCGTTTACAAGAAAAAGGCTCAACCACAGACAGTAAAGCCCCAAAATACAGATTAACAGGGAATTTTGATTTCACCAGCAGGTTTCCTCTGGATGGAAAAGACATCAGCGAGAGACAAGACTCAATTATTTTTCATTTTTACTAAAAGTATTCAGAAATATAAAAATATTCATACTCGTTAAAATGAGTTAGTGATGAATTTTAATTATTTCTGTGTTTGTTTTTGTGTTTTTAAACTCCTCGTCCACACTGATTCATCCTCTTTCTTTAGCAGCCAAAGTGCAACGATGAACTCTAGCAGCAAAATATAAATATTAAAACATAAATTAAAATAAACTTTAATCAGTCTTAAAGCACTTTTCTGCAGTTTTTAAGGTTTTTGAGACGCATCAAAACTCGGAGCCCCTTTAACAAAATCTACATTTGTGAATGTAAAACTTAATATTTTTTTAATTTTATTATTATTGTCATTATTTTTTTCCCCATAAAAATACGAAAACCCCAAATTTAACAATATATTTATATGCAGGTAATACATTACAAAAAATAAATCATACTTTCGCTCTAAATTTGTCCGTTTTAGCCGTGACTTTTATTTAAAATATAAAAAAATGTGTACTGTTATTAACATTTTCTTTTTGCTTCCTGAGTTAAATAAGCGGCCGACTCTCCGTCATTAATGAGTGAAACCAGCTGTAAACCAACAGAAATATTTATATTTGTGTCATATCAGGCTGTAAAAGAAGAAAAAGTGAAATGTTTGTTCTGAATTTCCTGATTTATTTTCATTTTTTTAACCTGAAACATGCTGATACAGGAAACCTCTATGTGCCGAAGCTTGACAACGGCTGGACTGTTGTTTCTCTCCTGTGAGGTGACTTAAATGCAGATTTAAAGGCTGCTTTACAGTTTGACTGAATGTCGTTCTGCTTTTTCCAGAATGCGACGAGGACGGAGTCAAAGTCTGCCAGTTCTTCCTGATGGGAAAGTGTCGCTTCGGACAGAAATGCCGTTTGTCTCACAGGTCGGTTCAAAGCAAAAGGACTTTTTCCTTAAAACACATTCTGTATTTATTCATATTATTTCACCGGTAAAAAGTTTGGAAATCATTGCGGTAAAGCTGCTGGTTCTCCTGAATCTGACGACAGAGTTTTACCTGGAAAGAGCTGCAATCGTTCTGAATGAGCTCCGCGTGGAGACGTGTTGTGAAACCGAAACGTCTTCGTTTTGTGTATTTTACTGCTGATTTAGATACGAGTCAGATGTACTCAGACCCTCGCATTAAAGAAGGAAAAAAAAATTAGCTGAAATAAGCTGAAATTGACAAAAGTAATAATAAATAAACATTTAATGAACATCATGACTTTGCTTTCAGTGCTCTCGTTAGTCTGGGACAATTTATTTATTTTTTATAATTTTTCTTTTCAACCACAATTCAAGTCTTATTTCACTAAATTATAATTTATCAAATTTTTATTTATTATTGCTTTTTTCAGTTTCTAGTTATTTGAGTTGCTGTTGTGAGTTTTGCCTTTTCTTTAATGGGAGGAGATGAACACGTCGCATGAGTCGCATCCTGCAGAGATTCTTACGTGTCAAGTGGAATTCCAGTTATTCCCATTCATCGCCTCTCACGTGCACATTCTTTCCGTTTCTGCCGCTCCGGTTCCTCAGCGAGCCGCCGGCCAATGATTCAGGAGCCGCGTGCCCCGACGCCGATGACAAACAGGATGCAGAAAGGACGGAAAAACACAAGAAGAAGAAAGGCGGCGGTGGCAGCAAAGCAATGAAGCCGAAGTACAGCGAGAGAAGAGGTGATGTTTTATTTCCCTGTGACGTCCGATAGTGACAAACTCTCAACCCCGAACCCAAAAGAAGTGTTAAAAAATCGCCCGAATCAAACCATTTATCAGCCGGAAACTGCTTCCATCAGGAAAATCAACCAAATCTGAGCTCAGAGTTGTGATATTTCTTCAGAATCACTTTATTTTAGGCGTCAGACTTTCCGACTGATGATGAAACAGAAGCTGATGTCGTCACCATGAGGCCAAACTTCCCCCGAAACAGAAAGACAAGTTAAAACAGATCTTTCTATTTCTGATTTGACGTCACTGGATAATGTTTTGTCTTCAGATTTTACTGAGTTGCAGGTTTTTACAGGTTTAAAAGGAGTTTTATCTTTAAAACTAAACGACCGTTTATCAGGACAAGAAACGGTAAAAACAAGGAACCAGAAACAGGATCAGAACTGTGACATGTTTTACCGACAAGTTAAGAGAAAACATTTGTAAGAAACAAACGTGTAAAACGTCCTTTTTACGACTGATGTGCAGAGCAGAGAGGAAAGGTTTATAAAGTTTAAAATGTTTATATTCAAAGAGGCTCAAAATCTGTTGAGATAAACTCTTAAAAATGACGGTGAGAGATGAGCAGAGAAGAGAGGAAACGTCTGGAAGCATGGAGATGGTTTAATATCTGCAGGACGAGGAGACAAGACGACCACAAAGAGACACACAGAGACAGAAATGAGACACAAAAGAAACACAAAGCAACAACAATGAGGCGCAAAATGACAGAAAGGAGACAAAACTGTTCCAAAGAGACACAAAATAATTTAAAAAGTCACAAAAATAATACAAAACAACACAAAATGACTAAAAACGATGCAAAAAAGCACCAAAAATTAGACAAAAGTTGAACAAAAAGAGACAAAACCGCCCTAAAGACAGTAAAACCAACGACCAGAACAAGAAACCCAACAAAAAATGAGACACAAAACGAGGAAAACGACGACAACAAGACGAAATGTGACGACAAAGTGACCCCAAGACTCATGAACTGCCTTTTAAAACTTTTAAAAA